GCCTACAGAAGGGTGAGAACCGAGAGTAGAAATGAATAAGGCGATAGTTTGTTATTACTGGGTATTACTCAGTTATAAACACTTAAAACTATCTAGCAAGGTTTTGAAATTTCCAGTTAACATCTACCAATGCTTTAAAATATTTTCGGAGGCAAGAAAACGTATAATTGTACCCTGGCTGGAAAAACAGCATTACTTCCGGTAAATTTGTGAATCCCTTCAAATTAATTACGTCATTGGTCATGAGATAGACAAAGCTGGCACTCTCCCCTTCTATATATACACTTCAGTGAATGCACACGACAGCACCGAGGAACAAGCTCTCAATTCAGTACAGGAGCTTTTTAAGGCTGTGAGTTCTGAAAAGTAGGCGGATACACCACTGTATCCATCAGAACAAACTATAGAAGCGATGTAGAGCCCGTACCCCTGCCTGAGTATGATTACAAGGCTTATCAGTCATCATATACTGGAATTTACGAAATGAAATGCAAATCCAACTTTTTCTCTATCTTCATTTCACGTGCGATGGATGCAAATGATTTCTTTGGTACTATATATGTCATAATAGATGAAAACTGTTTTCTCTTCAAAACATCTAGCGAAGAAGCAAAATGCACGAAAAGTGACGTTATTTGTGAAATTGATGAAGACTCGAAACAATTATTCAACGGTGTGTAGTGCATTGACCGAACGCTAGAATGTTATTTTACGAAACGGTTTATTTGTTGAACTCCAAGTTTTACAACCGTGCCGAACTCTGCTCTCTCTCACTTACTAACTGGGAGTTTACATGATTGACGGGTAACAAAACGACAACCGGAAGTTGTCACTACACGGTCGTTTAGAGCTAACTGAAGAAAGATTAAGCCAGATCCTTTCAGACTGCCGAGGGGAATGTGATTTAGAAACAAATGAAACTGAGGAAAATCAAGATCGTTATCTTGACTCTGAGGAAGAAGAGGCTCGTACCAAGATTTGGAGTAGGAAGAGGTCAGTGCGGCCTCCCCGGAGCATGGAAGACTTTTCTAACCGCAAAGGTTAAAAGACGATTTCAACCCATCAAACAAATCTGATAATCGATCGAACAAGACTGTTCAATCATGCTTCACTAGCAATTAAACTGAACGCTCAAAATGCAAACGGTTCAGCAATCGATGTACTAACTACGAATACTTAGTCCTACTTACGTGAAAAAGGGAAAGCAAGCAGGAATGCAGAAAAAACAAACTCTATTAAATTACGTCTACCTCTTGATTTTTTCATTTCATTTTGAATTGGTAATAGCTATTACATCACATTGTGAGCTGAGACTCTCGTCTCTATGACGAGATGTCAGAAGCAACGATCAAACTGTGATAACCTGGTTAGTGAAACTTAGTTTAGTAAGAACTGACCAGTAGTAGCTTTAATCGGGAACTAATGATCCCCAGCCAAAACAAAGGCCAGCCGAAATGAACAAGAATATTAACTTTAAGCTCCGTTTGAAAGTCAAACCCGGGTTTCTGATCCTCTTGATTAACCTGAAGACGGGAGCAACACAATGGAGGGCGGGAGTCGGGAGACAAGGGAGTACAAAAGTACGGGAGGCGGGAGAGCGTGACACGGGAAGCGGGAAAGTCCGACCCCCTGCCC